TTACCGCTCTCTCAATTTCTTCCTGTCCTTCTTTCTCTTTCTCTCCAGCTCTCTCATTTCCCTAACACACAGTAGCCCAGGCTAACCAGAACCTCCGGGGTGATGTAAAAGAAATTACTTCCATTCATCAATATAGCTATAGTTAATTCATTTTACTATTATAAATGTGATCCTCGTAGAGTGTCGTATTCTTAAGCCAATACGTGATATACTACTAGTTTAATGTGGCCTCGCTGACTCTGTAAACTGTTTTAAAAGTATTTTCATGTGTTGAAAATTTATTTCATTCTTCATTTTTTTCATGCGTAGCTAAGTCCAAATATGTTCTTACAGTACCTGCCATTAGACTTACCAATGAATCGTAGTAGCTGCTAATGTGATACTTCCCTTCAAAAATTGAGGGGAACCCATCAGCTTTCAATGTTGTAATAGATTGTGGAATTATACAGAATTGGACTGAAGTAAGTTGTGAAGCTTCTATTCTGGGAAATACAAACCCAAAGAATAATATTTCCCTAACCAGAAATATGTTCCAATTCAGTACACAAAGGTTAGTTCTTTGCTATGTTCTACAAATTACACAGAGATTTACGTAACATTCCAAATATGGTTGACAGGGAATCGAAATATAAATATTACCTTGAATAAGATCCATTAAATTAGCATTAAACCAACAAAAGTGAAAGGTGTTGAAGATATTTGCGTCTTTATGTCACCTGCAAACGAGAATTGGCTGGAATACTCTATGAAGCAATTGAAATGAATTTCTTGTAAATGTTTCTTTGCATCCAAACGCGTATTTTTGATTTTATTTATTATCCCACAAATTGCATATTTCATTGTATTATTATTTTCCACTTTTTGTGTAGAGCATTTTGTGTTGTTTGGAAGAAGAGCACTTTATTACCATAATATATTATGTTGTAATATGTGAAAAGATGTGCCGCAAGAATTACTTAATACATGTTTTGCGAAGGTGTTCATTACATCAGAACATGTTTCACTTTGATGCACAACTGCACAAAAATATTAAATAAAAGTGGTACAAACATTTTCATTTTTGTCAAAACATACCTTTTTAATGATATACACTTTTTTCAGGAGATCGCGTCAGTTAATCATTTCACTCACACAAATTCATCATATTCATTTTTTATTAATCCATTGCTTTGATATTCGTAGAGTTTCAACTGAACCTCTTAGTTTTTTAAAAGTTAATTGTTCCACTAATTCAAGATGTGAGATTTTGATTTTTGTATATTATCTACATGGCTTGAGAAAAAAGTTATGAACCCAGAAGGAGTGGTTGGAAGTGAAACAACATAAGCTGAAGGACCATGTTACTACATTTAACTCATTACAATATGGGATAAAACAGGCAAGGCTGTCGGAAGTTACAGGTGGAAAGTTGGCGGCAGGACAGTAGGATGTCTTACCTGCTCTGGCTGCAATGCATATCCTAACGCAGTTCGGATTGGTGTCAAAAACAGCCTTTGGATCCTCTCTTGAGGCATGTTCGTCCACAATTGTTGCGGCTGTTCCTCCAGATCCTGCAGGTTGATCCTACGTGAGAGTCCATTTCAATGGCATCCCACACGTGTTCGCTGATGGAGAGGTCCGGAGATCTTGTTGGCAACGGGAGGAACTAAACATGCTCTGGGCAGTCCATAGGCACACGTGCTGTGTGCAGGCGGGCGTTATCTTATTGGATTACTGAGACAGAGCGCTGTTCAATAAGGAGTAGGACGCGGCGACGCAAAATGTTTGTGACGTATCGCTGTACCTGCAAAGTCTTCCGAAGCAATGTTAGAGGTGATTCGAACGCATATCCGTTGACTCGCTGCGGCATCCGGGGTTACGTCTGTTTGTCTCTCCACATTTTGGACAGGATGTGCCCTCTGCCCTTTACATCGCCACATTCGAACACGATGGTCTTCGGAGGTTATGACGAAGTGGAACTCATCACTGTACATGATGCGACGGTGCCTTATCCATGTCTATTGTGCTCGGCACCAGACCAAACGCAGACATCAGTGTTCTGGTGTCAATGGCAACCTACGCATGGGGTGGTGGAAACCGAATCCATCGGTTGCGAATTGAGCCACTGTGTGTGTCACAGTGTGTTGTAGAGTCGTCAGTACGTCTTCGCAGATGGCAGGGTGCCGACGTCATGGGATTCAGCACTGCTTGGCGCACCATACGACTGTCCTTCCTCGATGTATTTCTCGATCGACCCGAGCTTGCAGGATGTGCATGAGGTCCTCATGTATCCACTGATTCCAAAATCGGTGCCACTCTGACAACTGAATAGACAACATGTCTGGGAATTGCACGACCAATCAGCCTCATGAATTACACAAGGCGACCTCTCTCAAATACAATTGGAAGGTAGTCTGACGGACGCGTCTGCGTGGCGCCGTGGAAGTTTCTTACTGAAGGTATACGTCGTTCTTCACTTTCTGACTCAAAGCAGTTGCCTGATAACTGCACCACAACAGGACGATGGCATCACAAATGCACTCTGGTGGGCGTTATACACATTACAGATACGTGTACACATCTAATCATTTATTCTCACACCAATGGCATGCATGTATACCAAAATGGATTAATATTGGACCACTCCCTCTGAGTACATCCCTTTTTTTTGTCAGGCAGTGTGTAAGGCAGTTGATTTAAATTGAGCTCTGAAAATATTCACTTGCCTGCAAGAATTAATCAAAAAAGCTCACTAAAAATGCGTTATTCTTTCTCAGACATATCGTCGTATTTTCGATAAAAATAATTGCTACTTCGAACGTTCAAGCACTTCTCTTTTAATGGTACTAGTAAATACGTACATTCAATAAGGAAAAGAAAGTAGGATATGGATTTTATGAATAGACCAAGTAATTGTGTAGGAAATAATACAGATTTTAATGTTGTACTTATTTATTTACAAATATTAAATAATACATCAGTATTCGGTGAGTCAGTCTTTGTCGAGACGTCCTCAAAATGGTCGAGAGTCTTTGGTTCAGTCACCTGATGTCTTGGCTAAGTATTTTATCGTTCATATTTCTAACTTCATACATTTGAAAAGGATTTTACCCGTCTAGTCACAAACTACACTGGTAACTCTGTCACACCTGGCTTCTTTGTCAATATTTTAATGTACATTTACTACATATTTTTAGTAAAATTTACTCTGAATTACACTCATTTAATTTGTCTAAGAAATTACGTTTTGTTTGAAATTAATTACATTTTCATTATTTTGATCCTACAGTTAGACTAGGAAATTTGTATTAGCAGCATTGCTGAAACATGAGTCAAGTCCTTTAATGTAAAGTACAACTCTCGAACACTGTTTTCGAATTAATAAATAAAACTTGTTCTTTGAGAATAACATAACATAGGTACTAAAATCTACATTGGGTTGATGTAAAACATGTAATTGTCATAAATTATTTGTCCAAATAAATTAGATTAGAAAACAAAACTTGACGCTCCAGCACTTGAAACATCGTCATTTACTGCAAAATGACAACTGAGCAGATATCATCCCAGATAGGCAAAAAATTGGGATGGGGGAAGATAGACGACGGGTTCACTAAAATGGCGGTTCCTAAATGATTCTAATGTTTTGACATAACATACAGATTTCAATCAATAGAGAGAAAAAAATATTGGCTAGTTAATGAACACAAGGAAGCTTCGGCACGAGTGTCTGCAATGTCACAAAACCCCTAACGTGTGTTGTAGCCCTAACGTGATTGCATATTTTTAATTAGGAATTCATTGAGCAGGGACAATTTTTAGAAGACAGAAAAACAGGAGAATCACCCACCCGTGACAACAAAGTTGCGTGGAACCTAGATGGTGAAAAATTAACGAGTAAAAAATTTGTGGCTGAATTTTAATTCTTGCTACAATCATTGAGGTAATAGCCTCATAAACATAATAAGTCAGATGTCTTTATCTAGTGATTTATGGTATGGGCTTAGAAAATTGTAGGATTTTTACAAATTTTACAAATGAATATTTAAATTAATTCAATTTTGGTGAAAAGTCTGTTCATATAATGTAAACCGTTTTCTACCGTTAAGGGCGTTATGAATTAAGAGGGAGTGGGGAAATTTCTTGCCAGTGTGGAAGAACATATTATGTATGATATAGAATGGAATTTTGTCCTTGAGGTATAAAATACATTGGTAAGCGTGAACTTAGAGTGTTGCCACTTAGGAGCGAACGTAAAAGTACACGTATAGAATGGAAGTCCAATATCGTCTTTGAGGGAAGAGTGCGGGTGCGAGAACCGAGAATGAAGCCGTACTGTGTGAGACCGAAGCACTTCGCAAGGATACAGCATCATACGTAAAGGAGTATGTGTGTGACAAGGAAACACCCTTGAGGGAAATAAATGCGACGGAGTGAAAGCATATTGTGCATATACGCATGTACAAAGCATAGTGCTCTGATACACAAGCCTACGTCATTAAGGAGCATGTGATATGAAACTACCCTTGAGGAAAGAGATGGTTAAGAAGCTCCCATTCAAAAACAGGGGGATTTGAAAAGTAGAAGGTGTACTGCGTAGTTACCAGGGGTACCTTGATAGGATTCAAAACCTACGTAGGGGTGTTTTGGTACTGCTCGGTTGCTAGAGTACCCTGCTAGGGCATACTTCATAGCGTGTGTTGTATACAACTTGCATTAAGAAGATTGAAACAACCTTTGAGAGAAGGAAGTGACATCTTAGTGCTAGAGCACGAAAGCACCATGACAGGATATCGAAGCGTAAGTCGTGGCATGTATTAAATAAATCTCACATGAATGGGGAAAGAGAGTTCAGGAAACCGCCATTGAGAACAGTCTGATGGTCACATGCACCTGAGAGCGCCGTTGTGGCGTACAGCAGCCTACGTGATGGGGTTACTCAAAACCACTGCAACGCAGGCCCGAGTGTTGAAGAACCCGCTGTCGTGAGCAGGCAATGGCCACGCAGGGGGGTCCTACTGCGCCGGCGCGGGCGCCGACGCGGGCTGCTGGCCGGCGTACGCCAACTCGTGCGCGTCGAGGCTGCGCGACCAGCCGGAGGAGGCGGCGGGGCCGGAGCTGTAGCCACCGCCGCCGCCGCCCGCGCTCCAGCCGGCGGCGGGCGCGGCGCCGGCGCTCCAGCCGGCGGACGCGCCGCCCTTGCCGCCCAGGCCCAGGCCGCCCAGCCCGCCGCCGCCCAGCAGCTTCTGCAGGGCCAGCCCGCCGGCCAGCAGCAGCGCCAGCTTGCTCACCAGCAGCGCCTTGGTGGCCACCAGCCCCAGCAGCCCGATGCCCAGCGGCACCACCAGCAGCAGCTTGGCGCCCGCCGCCAGCAGGATGGGCAGCAGCTGCTTCAGCATCTTCTTCTTGCCGCGGCCTGCGCCCACACACCAAGCACACACGCCGTTAAACATTATACTTTTTGGAACACTAGACTGTTACATCTACTATACAAAACACACAGAGATACAGGCCGGAGTCCACCGTATATAAACAACAATAAAAACAAATGTGTTGTAGTGAATATAATGCTCCTAATTCGATATTTCGAATGGTTTAGGGCAGTGACTTGATAACCTACACCATCCACAGCTAGCCTACTGCTATCCTAAAAGGTTAATATTTTTTTGTCTACTAATGTGGGTCTCATCTTGTTACTGCGACAAGCCCCCTGCAAGGTAAATTACACTTTCACTAATATCCAGATATTAATATTTATGAGATGCGGGAGGCTTGCTGTGGCTGGTTGGCTTAAATTTATTACTGTCCCAAACCCCTCATTTATATTATTATTTTGGTAGTTTGACGAGAGGTAGTCAATGACACAGAATCGATATCACAAAAAAGAACGAAGTTGGTTTATTGTAAACCACTAGTGATGTCCAACATTGACTGCGTCCGTTATTTTCTGGTTATCGGCCTAGCCACGATCCTATTTTTCAGCACCTACGAATACGCGTACAACAACATTACGTCAGAAGCATTTGGGAAAACGAGACTACTAGGTTTGCTGAATGAAATCATGCGGCTTGTTATCGTTGAAGATACAAGTCGCAGCATCACGGTAAATTAAATTTAATCCCATCTCCGGTTGTATAGTGGACTACTAACTGTTAGTTCTAATGATGCTACATCATGCTAATAGACAGCTCTAGACAGAAGCGAATCGATGGAAAAGAAGTATATTATGAATTAACTGCACACACTGCAGTCACAGTTTGGAATTTCATTACCAGAATGTTAGAACAAACATTCAATACAATTCACAACCATTCATCATACTTTATCGTATTTCATTGTGTTTGCGAATTGTTTCCAGACGTACTGCCAGCTGTTAGAATTCACAGTTTGAAACACAACCCCATGTCTGACAATTATCCTTAATACATTTACATCAGCACTTTTAGAATTTGTTTGAATTTTTAAGTGCCATTTTATTACCAGGTTGCCAAAGTAAAGAATGGTCCCAGGTCTTATGTGGTTATGATACCTAATCTGTGGAGTACAATCGGGAGATTCTAAATATCATTCTAGAAGGTAATTCACCGAAATTTATTAAGAGACGTATTCACTGCTACGTGAGAACGGAGTCATGTGCTTCTCTCAAGAGGAAAAAGAAATTCACAACGGGGCTGGCGAGAAACATTATCCTCCTTTTCGACACGTGGCCGAAAACAAAAGGTACAGATGTGCGGAAATGACTGACGCCTGGTTCGCACCGGATTCACGTGAACGTAGAACAAAATACGTTACAGAGAATATGTCAGAACGTCTTTTCAGCAATCATTTTACGTAAGCTTCCTTCAATGCTGCATGTTCGTGCTGAGACATGACTCGCAAGCTACACAAAGGAGGAAAGAAAGAAAGAAAAAGAAAAAGAAAGAAAGAAAGAAAGAAAGAAAGAAAGAAAGAAAGAAAGAAAGAAAGAAAGAAAAAGAAAGAAAAAGAAAGAGAGAAAGAAAGAAATGATAAAATAATGTGTTCTTGGGAACTTTATGCAATTAAAAACAAATAAATCCTTCACTTTTGTCGCAAATAGGCTGTTCTTCTATTTTAGAAATTACACGAATTCATGAAAAATTGTCATGAAATTCTCTAAGTGGTTAGTTCAACAACCACACGTTCTGCAGCAATTCAGAGATTTCTGTTCACTGTGGTTGCGTAGGCTTTGCGTAGACTTCCGCGGCTGGAGTTTATGTTGTGTAGGCTATCCGAGACGAGCTGCGTCAATGTCATGGTGGCTAACGTTTCGGCCAGCGTATTGTGGCTTTCTTCAGAGCGTACTGCTGTTCACTGTATTATTCATCGTGAAGTTTCATTAATGACTAAGCGTTATGAGAATATATTGTAATGAATAGATAAAAATGACGTTCAAGTTTAATAATGGACCAAATAAAAAAATATTTTGTCCATAGAGACGATCTTACTCATTTCTCCAAAAAGATATTGAAATTATTCTGAATCAATGGGAGTAAATTGCTCGTGATACGATCATGTATTTGATACATGGTACATAAAGCATAAAATTGTCTTTATTAATTTGAAAGTTTTCAAGCGTAGACCACATTAAATAAGAGATATCATTGTTTACGAAATTCAATGAAATGATGATGCAACTTGCGTTAAAATTAATTTTTACGCATGTCGCTTTCTTTTTTTCCTGCGAGAAATGTGCAAATGACCACACAAGTGTGGTCAGTACGTGTGTAATGTGTTTGCGATTGTTTTCATGATATAAGACATGAGTGAGAAGTGAATTTATAAAAAATGGCAATCTGCCAAATGCAATCAGATATCGTAATTTCATAATGCGATAATTAAATTCAATTGAAGAGATTTTACCTTAAATGCAAGCACAATAGAATTACAAATTGCTTGATATGAGTCTTACGAAATGTAACAACTGCCTGTATTTTTTCGATGCTTATTACGTAATTATCCGTGTTAATATTTATATACAACCCCACACATATTTTTATAAAATATAAATTGATTTTTTTAATGAAATAAATTGATACAAGTTAATAGAATATAAACATTGTAGATAGTAGTTTTGAAATAAAAAGTTGTACAAAATTAATGGAACATGATAGTCACTGTCGCTGTCAATATTATTTTGTATCAAAATTCATAAATAGTCATAAAAAGGAGTTAAACCTATTTTTGAATTGTTTGAACTTATAGTAATGTAATATAATGTTGGCTGGGCTATCCGGGACGAGCCGCGTCGATGTCATGGTGGCTAACGTTTCGGCCAGCGTATTGTGGCCTTCTCCAGAGCGTACTGCGGCAGCAGCGTCAGCAGTACGCTCTGGAGAAGGCCACAATACGCTGGCCGAAACGTGAGCCACCATGACATCGACGTGGCTCGTCCCGGATAGCCCAGCCAACATAAACTCCGGCTGCGGAAGCCTACGCAACCAATGTAATATAATATATTTATTTTGCTAGTGAGCTTTTGTTTGGTGGCAGTGCTTTACAGAACATATAAAGACATAGAAAGGCAATGACAAAGACATGTTAAGAAGACATATTTTAGGAAATATAAACTACTAATTACTAAGAAAATGTTCAACACATAAATATTGATATTTAGCTACGTGGTACTTAATTGCACACCCAGCATTTCCTTGTTCATCAGGTCTTAAATTCTCCTTAGTGCAGGCTAAAATCATAATACTGTATTTTATCAAATATAAGCTCCCCTTTTGAATCAAGGAAAAATGGAGAAGACAAATAAAGTAGTATCTCAAACTGAAGAGGAATTTGTTTTCCATGATTGTCTTGTATTTTCAAACAACGAGAGAAATGGATATATGTATATACATACATACACACACTCACACACACACATACATTAACACACACACATTTCGTCTGCAATTTTCTTAGAACCTATTTCCAGTGACAATTTGATTTGACAGTTCAAAAACATGTTGCAAGGACTGACGAAGGATGTTCCGAAGTATTCATAACTTTTTATCCAAAAGCCTTAGGCTTTCACGGATTTATGCACGAGTACTTCTATCGAGAGAATACTGTATTATGAATTGAGTTGTGAACTGGAAACGTAACCAGGCCGCTATTTTTCTCTGGTAATATTACATAGTTCAATTAAGTCATCAATGTTCATTACATCAGACTCTAATACAAAAGACTAAATTAACAAATTCTTTGCAGACCAATAATTTTCTGCGCACCTTCCTGCGAGTTCGAGCCTTCTTATCTCATTAGGAGCGTCTGGCCTAAAAACATGCCGCGTGTGAAGGGAGGGATTCCAACAGCTTCATTTGAACCTCAATCACGCCAACCATAATTGCTGAGTACATCGTACACACTGGGAAGCAGACTCGAGAAACAGGTTTTACTCATAATTAGTGTTCGTTTTTTTTATTTTATACGCAATTACACTATCTTTCTCAAACGTTTACTGCAAAACGGCACGCATTGTATTAATGGGTGCGTTAAAGTGAGCCACGCAATAGAAGATATTACCCATTGAAAATATATAAAATTTTGTTTGTTTTGTCGTTCAGCAGACGTCATTAAAATGTATTTGCTATTTATAGAATTGATAATCTTGCATATGAAACATGAACTTAAAAGAAACATGAAAATATTTCAACTTCTTTGAAAAATCTCAATTCTCTTATTTTTTCCATTGATGAGATCTGTAATTAACACTAAGAAACATACATTAAGAAAATTGCCTTACGTGCACATTTTGTATCTCATAATTTTTGCAAGATGGTGAGAGATTTGCGATGGAATGTGAAATACGATAAAATGAAAAGTAAAACTACAGGCAATGACATGGTTGCATTACGTTTTTGTGATTATCAAATCACAGTGTTCACTTTTTAGAAAAATTCAATTCGAAGAAATAAAATGTCCGCTCATTCTACAGTAAATCAGCGATGGTTAGGTGGCTGAGAGTTGATTCTGTACGTCAGTCTACTAATTTTCCATCAGTTTGTCTTGGTTGACTGGAGGATCCATCTTCCACGTCAGTAGATCTGTCTTCTCGTCTGTCTTCTCGTTAGTGAGTTCTCCTTTTATGACACGTCCGTATTCTGTCAGTTTTACTCATATGTCTGCCCCTCTGTGTTCTAATCGTTTCGGTTCTGGTCATTACTTCTAACCCGGCTCGAATCGAAAACGCAGATAGGTTATGGTAGTATCAACATTTCTTTAACATGTCGACATCAAATATGAACGGTATTTTAACCTGAATGGAAAATTGTGTGTATTACTACAAATAAAACGTCGCTCCGGTATTACAGGTTTCGGTATTATAAGTGAATCATGGTGGTTTGTTTAGGCATAACCATGCCACGACACTAAACAAAACCTCCATTTCCCAGTCAGGATTCAAAA